ATGGTAATGACATTCTACTCTAGTGACAGCCATTTTAGAGCATTTGGAAGCCTCCTCATATGCTGTGAATAAAACAAAGGTGTTGAAATGGAAGCCATGGCTACTTCCAATCGCTTGACTTGGTCTTACAATTTCAAACCAGAAACAAGCCTATCTTTTACTTACAGACAATGATGCACTCAATGCCTGAGAAAGGCTTTATTCCTTTTAATCATTCACCCATTATTAAGCATGTTCTCTCTGGAACAGTCAACAGTGAATCAATAAAACATATCCCTTCTGTTAACAATAAAGTTAGTATCTATCCCCTTGAGGTGATTTCTCCTGCTTTTCTAATTTGTTTATCATTTTTAGCAAGGCTTCTTTCCCCTCCAGATACAAAACCAACATCTGGTCAGAAAATTTACTTTAACCCTTTCCAAAGTATTAACATGGCCCTGAGTGTATAGTCTTGCAACTTTGACACATCAGGCAAATGAACACAAGCACTAAAGTAGAAATTTATTTCTTAAGTCTGAGTCAAATGAAAATCTGACCTTGTTCATTCAAAAAGTAATTAACAATGTTTCAAAAACAATACATTTTATAAAAAGCAGTGTGTACGTATGAGCGTGTGTGGTGGGTATTCTACCTCACTGAAAGTAACACAATTCTTAAAAAGGAATGAAATAGACCCTCAGTAAATTTTTGTTGATGGTAGAAGGGGAAGGAAAAAAGAGCACGGGAAGGGAGAGAAGGAGACGAGAAAGAGGAAGGAAGAAAATCCATGTCTGTTCCCTATATACAAAATTCTACCATTTATGTTTTTGAATGAATCACATAAATTCCTCTTAGAAGAACTAAACATCTCACCTCTAGGACTGTTAAGCCTTTTTCTATATGACTAGGTATAGCATACAACACTTTTGTAGGCTGAGATTTGGTGGAATAGTACTGAATTATCTATGATGCACTGAACTGCTTAATGTTTTTTTCTTTAAATATGGCTTCAATGTTTCATATTTATCTACAACAGCACATTAGTTGTTAATTTTTTTGGTAGGCTTCCAATAGAAACCTAGTTAGTATTTTTCTCTAGGAAAATTTCAGGGAAAATTAAATGTTTAAACTCCTTTAAGAGAATACAACTAAAAGATTAAACTGGCTGGGGCATCTTTTGCAGGACAATGAGAAAAAGAACAAACTTTTACTCAGTGTCTATTAGGTGCCAAACAATTTTACATATGCTATTTCATTTAATCCTTATAGTAACCTCTAAGAGTGGGTACAGCTCACAGATTATGAAATGGAGAGATTAGGTAATTAGCTCAGCCCAGGGTCACACTGCTTGTTAGAGATGAAATTCAAACTCAGTTTCCAAAGCACATATTGTTTACACTTTATCATACTAACAATTTTCTAAATGGGATGTTGGTGATGAATGAAATACTGTGAACTGTCCTTCAATTGGCTATTCTTCAGTGTTCACCTTTGGCTTTTGAACTGAACCATCTTCTTTCTTATACACCTCTGCTATGTAACCATCAAGGCACAGTGGGCAATATAACATCTATTATCTCTACTTTAATTCGTAGCTATCCCATTTCTAAGAAAAGGAAATTTTAGCACAAAAACCATGTATCCACCCTGACTGATATGTCAAACTGCATGGCTAACTTTCCCTCTAGTACTTGCAACTGAACCTCCTTAGTTATTCAGTAAATGAGAATCTAGATATATGACTTGGGTTACTGAGCAATAGACGGTGGTGAGGAAGAGAGAAAAAGGTGCATTAAGAAAAAGAAACTCAGGAAGTGATGAAGTTTTATGGAAGCAAGTGAGATCAGGAAGGAAGAGAGGAGAAAGAGTTGGCTTCACACAGCATAGAAAAACCACAATATTATTGTGGCCCTGAATACACTTTTCTTAGTGATTAAGTGACCCCTATTTCCTTTCCTATAAAATCATTTCTCAGTTTGCAGGATCACGACTCCATCTGTGCAGTTACTGGTTCATTGTTACATACTGTCCCAGTGTTGAAAAACAAGTCAACCGCCAGTTTAAATATTATTGACTCATTGATTGAATTCTTTTACTAGGAGTGCATGTTGCGATGAAAGGCCTGTCTTTTGTTGTTTTTAGAATACTTACTCTAGCTGTACATGCAACTGTATTATTCTCTCACTATCATTTTTCAGTTTTCTATCAAGAAGTACTAAATTTATGGTGGATCTGTGCAGTTTGCTATCCAAAAGTATTAAGGTTACGGGAGAAATACACGATCATTAATCTTAAGGGGTTTTGTAAAACATGAGATTGCCATGAAAATGCAAATATCCATTTGCCTTTTTCCAAACCAAAAACAGATTTCATCTCCATAGGTTTAAATGATTTCTCACATTCATGTACATAAATTTCCTAAGTCCCACTCATCTGAATGACTCCAGAAATATGGGGTGCAACAAACAGTCTTGTTGCAGAACGGGCCAATTGCCCAACGATGTTTGCTTAGAAGGGAGAATGAAGACTGGTTTGTTTGTTCTATCATTCACACTTAAAGGCTACTTACTAACCCTACATTTTAAAGAATAATAACAATAATATTGGAAGTTAACATTTAATTATGTATTATTATATATTAGAAACTGTCCTAAGTACTTTGTTTGTAATACCTCATTTTTTTCCTTCAAAACAACTCTATAAGGTAGGTACTATTATCAACCCCATTTTACAGATGAGGAAGGTGAGGCTAAGCTACCTTGGGAAAAAGAACTTGCCCAAAGTCACACATTGGGCATTAGCCAAGCTGGGACTCGAATACAAGATTTTCTGACTTTAAAACCTTGCTACACTGCTTTACTGGTCCCACCTAGAGGGAATAGGACTTGTCAGAGTCCTTCCAAGACAACTAAACAATGAATGCAAGTTTCTATGAGCCTCAGGTAGGTATGGGGCTGACACTAGACAGAGCTGCTTCGAGACAGGTGTTGACAAAGCCCTCATTTGACTTTATGAACGCATCAAACCTCAGAACAGCTGAGAAGTATTTTTTTCTTTAGAAAATCTTGGTGTATGAATACTCAAACTTGCCTAAGAAGTCAGCTTACAGACTTTTCCATAAACAAATAAATATATACATACAGATAGAAATAAATAAATGAAAAGGAAAGTTCAAAATTCTACAATTAAATATGTCTGTGATCCAGATTTTGTGATTTTGAACAACAAGAGTCTGGATTTCCTCTGCAAGTCCAGGACGTATGATTACAGGGAGTTTCACCCCCTTTTCTCCTCGAGAGAGCTCTACATAGAAGTGGAATTGTAATATTTGTGTTCCTCTGGGGAGCATATTTAATTGATTCTAATAATAATATCTATCATGAATTGAGCGCTTACTCTTTTCCAAGTACTTTTTAAATTAGGAAATATTTTTAATCAGTATACATCTTAACAATAATAGGCTTTTATAACTATTTGTCATTCATGTTTGACTGAATCTTTAAATTCACTTTGTACCTCTCTCTGCTTTGCTTTTAAGCGTGGGTTTTATTCTAATGTGTGTTGATTTTCCTTCAACAAGACAAAAAGAAGCCATGAGCACAAAGCCCAGCAACTCCCTATCTTTTCATCAGTGTTATTGTCTGACCTATTTCTAGGGGGACACGATTCTCTTTTCTCTCACCACTCAAGATGCATATGGGTCTTCCTAGGATTTCTCCACCACAGTGGCACAGAAGAATGCAGATACACCACCAAAATACCTGGCAGTAATCTGACACAGGCCGCCAAAAGCATAAAAATTCTTCATATCTTGTTTAGTTTTTAAATTCATGAGCATTTTGCATTCTAGTCTATAATATAACCATGTTTGTTTTACTATAAACATTAAGAGGGTTTTCCTTCAGAATCTATAAGTAAAAGTGGATATTGCATGAATATGCCCCAGGTTTACACAGCCCTCAAAACACTGCTGTATTTCTGGTGCTACAAGACCTTAGTCTACAAGCATGGATGGTATATTAATTTTTATTTTAAGGGACATTGGCCTGTAGCTAACTGCTTAACTTGCGATTACTAGCATTATTACCATTTAATTGTCTGACACAAATGTCTACCCCTTATTCTACTAGAGCAGATGTAAAGCAACTTCCCCCAAAGTGAATCTTCTTTTCCAAATGCCTTCCATATCATAAAGTGATGATGAATTACTCCAAAAAAAATTCCGAAGACACAAGTTGAGCACTTTTTCTGAAAAAATTCTGATGCTGACTCAGGTTTGGCAAGATGGATGTTGAAGTGCTAAGATGTATAGAATCATATTCCTTACCCAGAAGTTACTTTTACATCTTTCCCGACTCTAGAATATAAATCTTCTCTGAGAACATAACATTCTTTTCTTTCTTTCTTTTGCTTCTTTTTTTCCTTTCCTTTCCTTTCTTATTTCCATTGTCCAGCAGAGATGAACTATAAGGGTCTACTTTACACTAGGTGACCCTCAGTCTGAGTTTATTTTTTAATTTCATGCTTCAACTTGTATAAAGTGAATTAGTATTTTGTTTCCTCTATAAGCTTAAAATAATCTATTTAGAGTTTACTTACAGGAAGAGATTCCTACAGCAATAAGGAAGCAGCAAAATACGGAAAAGAACTCCAGAGAGCTAGGTTTGCCTGGTCCTTGTGTCTATTAATAAATGTACTTGGTTTCCTCAACTCTCACATAAAATCAAGAATATTGTACACAAAATTTCTTCTAAGTGCAAATATTGCACTTAGAGTTAATTTCAAAGTATTGTGCTAATTATGTTCACATGCCAAAACTCCTGGTTTCACTTTCTGATTGAATCCCATGGCCAAGACACCTCAGGCAACAAAACTTCAAACTCAGCAGGATGGTTTCTCAGAGAAGATAAAATAAAACGCTTTACTGAGGACCAGGATATCATGTTACAAATTTGCATGCATGGAGCTTATACCTTCCTCCAAACACAGGGTAAACACAAACACAAGGACGACGTCCTCACCTGGGTCAGGTGGCACACAGGCACAGGAAAAGTGAGTATTGTAGCCTACTTTGAAGTCAGAGTTGATGGGGTAATAATGGGCTAGCTTGATCATCTTCTTGAAAGCATCGTAGATAAAAATGAAGCTAATCAGAGAAGAGAAGCCCTCCTCAGTGAAGCGAGTGAAGTACTGAACCAAGAAGCTGGCGTCGGTGGCCACCAAAATGAGACACAGGAAGGCTGACCACAGGCCAATCCAAAGGCGGAATTCCAAATAATCAAAGTTATTGTCCCTGGAAAGAAGAAGGAAAGGTATTTAGACTCCTCCTCCACGGAACGCAAAGAAGAATGAATATAAAACTACCAAACGACTGCAGAATGATTGCTAAAAATACAAATCACTTTTAGCCACTAGACATAAAGCTCATTTTTTATTTTCTCCAGAAAGTATTGTTTAAGAATTTGGTCTAGTGAGATTATTATGCTACCATAAAGAAATAATGCCAGAAGTTTGAGAAAAGCACATCAAAAGTAGTCATACCATTTGTATGTGAATAACTCATTAATTTTCTCATTCAAAAAATATAGTCCCTGCCTTCATGGAGTTTATAGAATAAACAATTTTGAAAGCATAACATTGGTACCCAATATGCGCTCAAGAAATGTTTGCAAGCTTTATTGATTAATAAAGACCCTAAGATGACTGTGTCCTCCATCCTTAAGTCATCGCAGTCTACTGAGGGAGATGAATTGATCAACATAATCACACTATAAAATACTATGTGATATCTAAAGGTTCCCACAGAGTGTCATAGAAGAAGGAGTAACTAATTCTGGCTGGCAGGATAGATGAAGTCACAGAAAAAACTCAAGGTATTGAAGTAGGAACTTTCCAAACAGACCAGGGAGAGTCAGGCCAAGAAGAAGAAAGAGTACTTAAAAAGGCACGTGGCATGAGGCTGCGTGTAACGCCACTGTCAACAGAGGAGTAATGCCACCAACATGAGGAGATGGGATTAGAAACAGCTGCAGTCAGATCAAGAAAGGCTGTCCTGCCATGTGACAGCCACACACCACTACTTCCCCCATGACGCCTGCCCACAGACGTGAAGTTGTGTGTGAAGCATCTTGTGACTACTTTTTTTGTCTGTGACTGTTCCCTAGAAGTCTTAGAATAGGCTGCCTCCATCCAAGGAGGCCATTGTTTTTCAATACTCTTTCCATTTCTTACAAATGATTTAGTTCAAGATTCACAACTAGGAAAAGATGGGTCAAGTGCTGACATCTTACCATTCCATACTAATTCTTTTAAAATTATATGGAGAGTGCTTTACAATATTTTTTTCTCATAATTTCTTTGTGATGAGAAAGCAGACAGTAGTAGTCACATTCCTTATATGAGAAAAAGAAATAAATCAAAGATCATGCATGCTTGAAGCTGTACAGCCTTGCTCTTAGACGAGTTTCTGAAAACTGTTAGTGATGTATTTTAATTCTTTCCCAAAGGCATCGTATCAACACCTTCACCACCACCACCCAGTCTGGGCCACCAAGAAGTCTTTGCCTGATTGTTATAAGAAACTCCTTACTGATATCCACGCTTGCCCTGCTCAAACCCATTTTCCACATCCCAGCCAAAACGATCTTTCTAAATGTGAATCAGATACCCCAGTTTAAAACCTTTCAATGCTTCCTACTGCTCCTTGAAAAAAATTCAAATTCTCTACCTAACACAGTGCCTGGCACATAGAAGGTTTCCAGTAAAGACTTGCTAGATGAATTAAGGCATGCCTGCAGCTTAGGACTTGACTGAGACAGTTACTGACATTGCTCTGGCCTATGAGCTACCGCATGTAACCGGGCGATGACTGACTGAAAATTTAATAGAATATTAGAACTAAAAGTTCCTTAAACATGGTGATGGTTAATTCTATGTGTCAACTTGGCTGGGCCATTGGGTGCCTTATTCTGGGTGTTTCTGTAAGGGTGTTTTTGGATGAGATAAACATTTAAATTGGCAGAGTTTGAGTAAAGCAGATTGCCTCCATAATGTGGGTGGGCCTCATCCAACCAGTTCTTCAACTGAATAGAACAAAAAGACTGGCGTCTCCCAAGCAGGAGAGAGAATTCTCCAGCAGACTGCAGGGACTTCATCTGCAACATCAGCTCTTCCTATTTCTACAGCAGACAACCTTTGAACTTGAACCTGAACATCAGCTCTTCTGGGTCTCTAGCCTGCAGGCCCACCTGCAGATCCTGGACTCATCAGCCTCTATAATCATGTGAGCCAATTCCCTACACTAAATCTTTCTATATATGTATATACACCTCCTATTGGTTCTCTTTCTCTGGAAAATCTTGACTAACAGAGATGCCAATTAGTTAAATTTGCCTCATTCCATAGATGAGGACACTAAAGCTAATGGAAGTTAAGTCATTTATCCAATGTTAAGGTTTTAATGGCAGAGCTGGGCCAGAAAACAAATCTCTGTTTCCTTGTTCTGGTCCTTTTAAAAATTACAACATGGTTCCCCTATCCTATTTGTATTTAGCACATGACAGGGCAGGCCTTAAAATCATTGTCCTTTGTTTCTCTCTTCTCACCAAATCACACAAATTGAAATACATTACCAAAGCAAGAGATTGTTAACACTGGAGTAGAAAGTTATGTTCTATGGATTTCCTGGAACCTTTCTAATCACACCCCTTGCATTCCCTCCAGTTCCCTTTACATCTAGAGCCCCACTGTTTAATCCTATGCATGTCTTTGTAAGACAAGTAGACTATAGATAGAGCTAAATTCTAGGAATTTGAGATAATTTACATTATCACACGAGTCAGTCTCAGAGTCAGAGCTAAGAAACATAGTTTTATTACTTCTGAGTCAACAGACTTCTTTCTTAAAATAGAAGAAAGTTTTTAACAATCACCTAGTTTTCCTTCCCTAACAAGACGAAAGAGCAATCATGATTTGTTCTAAGAATGCTAATGGCTGTTTATAGAATTGATGTTTACAGGACAGGATGAGAAACAAATCCATTAACCAGTAATGGTTAGGAACACTATCAGTTTGAGTACAAAGGAAAAAAATGCATAATGTATAAACTTAAATCTTAGGACCTAAACAATATACCAAACTAGCTGCTCTAAAATACTTAAATACTCCCAGAGCAGCTCTATAAGAATAACCAAAATAAAATCACTAAAAACAATGGCACTTCATTATGAAAGCGATATATTTACAGCAGCAAGAAGAAAGAGGAACAAGAGAAGAAAAACTTTTAAACAAGTTGACCAACAGTAATGACTACAATAAAATAGCAACATTACATCCAATAAGACTATCATTCCTCTTGGTGCCGAGTTTAAATAGCAATTAAGTTATAAAAAGTAAAAGGAAATGACAGTAGAGACAAAAGAAACCATGGTGAATTAGAAGGAGATAATGGGTTTATATCCTTCTGGTACCACAGTGTTCCAGTTTTCAGTTATAGTTTTTGAGTAATATAAAACCAAGGATACAGACAAACTGAAGCACTCATATTTGAAACATGCTACAGAAATTAATGTTCAGCCACTGACAAATAAATATAAACTCCCTAAACTAACTGAAAAAAACCAGTAATACAACAGAAGAAAATAATCAGTTCAAGGCCTTTAAGTAAATTGTTCAAAGATTATAAGGAAGAAATTATTAAATGACCAAATGACAATTATACAGGCTAAAATCCAACTTTAATTATGAAGTTTCTGCATGGCTTAGAACACATTGTTAAAACTTCTTTCAGAGTCCTCACTCAAGAAAAAAAGGGAATCTAAGTCTCCATTATTTGGATACAATGTGTAAAAAATAGTGCAAAGGAGACTGCAGAAATGGGAAACAAAACTACAAGTGTCTTTTGGAAAGTTGTGAGCTATTTCCTTTATTCTGCTACTAATTTTAAAAGGTGACAGCATATCATTCATGTTCCCTCATGATTCTCCAGTTTACAGAGCAAATATTAAAACCTATATTCCATGTCAGAGATAAATCTGTGGATTATGTGGAGTTACTGTTTGAGTCCACTGACCCTACAAAACAAGGATTTATCTATTTCTCAAAAAATGCTAAAATATGTTGGGGAAAATCTGGGCAAAACAGAGTAAAACAGTTTCTTTACTGAAGGACGTCTCAGACCCCTTAGTAAGCTAAAGTGTAAAGTGAATTACCAAGAGGAGGATATAATATACAGTACTTCCCAGACTTATTGGGATCACAGAAGCTTTTTTTTCATAGAGCATCTAATGGGATTGGTAATTGATAAAACACACTTCGAGAAATAGTGATCCACACAAATACTCCGTATTTGAGAAAATATTAGCACTGCTGTTATAATATATAAGCAAATGATACAGCATTGTGAATAAAATAACAAGGTTTGCCACATAAGCATCACACGTTACTCAGTGACGGATTTAAAGTGCAGTTTCTCAAATGTTTCTTGTGTTGCTTTACAACTGTTTTCAAATAAATCACTTGGAACTATGTTTACGTTACCAATTATGATGAAACAGAAGGGAAAGTAAGAAGGGAACTTGCTTAGTGAAAGGAAATAATTTCTGTCCCACAAATCTAAAGTAAACCAGGATGCAAACATTTTCTGTAGATTAAGGCTCTGATCACACTGCATCCAATAAATCTTTCTGCAAAGGTTGTGCATGTTTGTTCCTGTTTATAATACATGCTTGTTTAATCTTTCCATAAAGGCTTTCTTGTCTCACACAATGTTTTCTTAAACATATAAAAACTTTGGCTCTTTCTATAAACTGACATTCACAGAATTCTTTCCGATGTTCTTCTGAGAATTATGATGGAAGAGGGATTTGTAGCAATGATCTACAGAAAACACACATTATTTAAAATCTGGAACTTCAAATTCTCGCAAGACCCTTGCTGATTCTCTCAACCCATTTTTCAAAAAGCTAGTTTTAAATCCTCATTCCCTCCTCTATCTTGTGATCATTTTTGATGGTATGCAGTTTCAACGACTATACACGAGTCTTTAAGACCATGAGGTATTATGTAGGTAATGACATTTCTAACATTAAAATTCTAAAAATATATAACAATAGAAGAATATGGAAATTCCAATGAGGAGTGCTAGCAAGTCATATGAATTTCTGCAATGAGATCTGCCAGTAAAGGCAAGTCTCTCATGGAGGTATCAAGTTCATTAGAAAGAGGCCAGAATACCCAATTTGATTTTGAATCTATTTCTGTGCTAATGTGGCCACTTGGATAATTCACTTAACTCAATTTTCTCCTTCTTAAAATGATCGATTAATATCTAAAAGAAAATACTGATATCATAATTGTCATGCCCATTAGTAGTGTCTAGTGATTCTGCAAGAGATGTAGGCTCTGGAGTCAGAAAGCAGGAATTCAAATCCCAGCCCTGCCCATAACTGGTGATGTAACCTTCAGCAACTTACTTACCACTCCATGTCTCCTCTCTCACCTAAAAACAGGATACGGTCCCTACCTCATAGGACGGCTACAAGAATTAAATGAGGTAGTACAGGTAAGTGCTTAGGATAATACTTGATATGTGGTCAGCACTCAATAAATGTTAGTTATTATTCAGCTGAGTCTCGAAATGTACCTTTAGTTAAGAATACTGGAATCAGGGTTAGGAGCAGTGGACAGAAGTATTCAGTCTCTTTCATTAATGACCCATGTGACCTTGAACAAGTCATTTCATTTCTCTGGTGTGTGAGTCAGGATCATGGCAGGAAATAGAAGGCATTCTCAAACGGGATTCTGAGGAAAACTTAATAAATGGGCTATTTGAAGAGGTGTGAAGAACAGAGAATGGTGAGGCACTCAGGGACTAGCAAGATCAGGAAGACATTTCCACTTCCCAGCTTGAAAAGGCCAAGGAAGGAACAGAGTCACCAGATCCTGGTGAGGGCTAAAGCCAGGGTGCAGGAGCCACCTGACAGGGGCTATACTCAGGCAACAAGCCACTGCCAGACTGTGGTGGTAAAACAGAGACAGTGAGGACTGCGGAGTCAGACACACCATGACCTCTCTCTCCCTTCCCACCTGTGGGTGCTCTGCACTAACCAGACCCAACAGGAAGCCAGAGGGCAAAGGAGCCTGGGTGTTGCAGTCCACAGGGTCCACCTTCTGCGGCACAAAGCAGGACAACAAGGCAGAGAATAATGAGGGACGGAGCAAGCAGATAATACAACATATGGGCTGGACGACCTAATCTCCAAGGGCCCTTCTACCCCCAGATCTTAAAATTCCCGTATTCTCGTCTATCTAATTACTATTCTGTGCTCTGTCTAGACTATCAATGTTTTACAATTAAACAATCCTAATTTATGATTAGATATGTATATACATACTTGCTGAAATTAAACAGAAGCCTCTCAAAAACTAGAACAGGTCCTGTGCTGCTCAAAATAGTGAGTGGTTGACCGGCAAAGAGGCAAAAGATGGCTCCAGAGACAGCTGTGCCCAGGAAACTCTCCAACACGCCCTAATAGAAAGAAAACAAAGGTGTTAAAAGAAACACATCTTTTTTCTTCCTATGTGTGACATCACTAGGGAAATTAAGCCACATTAATATGCTGTTATGAGGGCCGTAGCAAACATATCAGATATGAAGAATAAAGAGCCTTACCAATATGAATATCACCATTTCTTTCACTATGCATATGATTTAATCATTCCACCATACTCCAAGGGCTGAATTGCTCCAAAGAACTAGGGTGACTATAATGACTGATGGTTGACTACAGAAGGAAAAAGGTGACTCAGATCCATTCCAAAAATATCAATGGAAGCTTCTCTACATAAAATCACATTACATAATCCCACAAAGTGGGTAGAATTGATTTGGTACTTTAGATAGCGTTTTCTCTGTGGTTACCTTCAGCGTTTGTTTTAGCCCCATTTTACCTGGCACATAGCAGGTACTTATAAGTAGCTACATTTTATGCACAAAAGCTATTTTTTTCTAGAGGAAAGTTTTTCAAGTGGAGAAGGGAGCAAAAGGGACACAAAAGGTGATTTGCCCTCTATCTTGCAATCTCTAAGACACCACTTCCAAAAATATTCTTATTTCATATTCGTTGTCCAATAAACTTATACAAGAGCTTCGATTTACTTTGTCTTAGAGGAAATAAATGTGCAGGGACATGAATAGCTAAACCTTTGTGGCCACATCTCCTTGTAGTTATAGCTCTGGAAATCAACCCATTATTTTCCTTTTGCATAATCAGAACAAAGAAACAGGAGCTATCAACATCTGACATGAAATTATCCTTAATTTCTTAATTACATCATTTGGGATCAATGCCTCAGATGCTGGCAAACTAGCCTGTTTCCTATATTTTTCATCATTTCAAACTTCAGTTAGAAAAGCACATGTTTACTTGTGGGAAGGTCCTTTTGTAAACTTAAAATAGTATTTTATCAAGAGAAGATTTTAAATATAAAATGATGGTAGAGACTCTTTATTCATACATAAGGCTGTAAATCTGAACCACAACATCTGTAAGATAAAACATTTTTCAAATGAGTAGATAAAGACATTCTAAAGCTTTAAAAGACACACAATTATATTTAGTGGTAAATTAATTTACATAGTACAGGCAAATTACGCATTCTCTCTACATTTAGGTGTATACTAAAACGAAATGGTACTAGGAAGATTTCCCTCTTCAACTGAACAATAAATTATCTGTTCATAGAAGTATGATTTATGTTTACATAGAACAAGTTACCTCTTAATCTAAACCACCCTCTGACCAGAGTAGAGTGAATTTCTGTGGAATCTGACATGCCCCTCAGTCATTCCCTGCCCCCCCACCAACAGTTAACATATGCCTCTGTCAGCCTCACTAAGTCACCTCTTTCCACTGCCCCAAAAGTTCTCCAGAAACTTTTCATTCACTTATCATATAATATACATGAAATGATTATAGAGGAATTGATTTTTTAAAAATCAACTTACAGAACTAAATACACTAAGTGCCATCTCCACTCAAAAGCCGTCTAAGAGACCCTTATTATAGTGATTACTCAAAATATTTTTTACACTACTTTGGAGCCAGCAATATTCTCCTTAGAATGACATTGGCAATAGCACATCCTCCTCTTTTAAGGGTAGAGTTCAACAGAAAATCCTTTAGAGCAGCACTATGTAATGATGGGGTTGGGGTGAGGATGGGCAAAAAAACAAGGGTTGACAAGTAGTAAGACTGGCTTCTTACACGGTGAGTAGACACATACTGAAACAATTCAGAACAACTACTTCTGTCCAAGAAGTCTAGGTTTGAAGTCTGGCAGGAGGGGATCCTATTTCCATGGATGTGAGTTCTACTCCATGGCTGAAGGGTGCCATCTCTTTCTTCTATAGCCATTCCATACATAATCAGAGTATCTACCTTATTCTTCTTCAAAGGGACAGAAAGCAGAATAATAAGCAAGGCTAGCAAAACCAGGCTACACTGATGCAGAGAAGAGATTCCCTTGTGTCCAAGAAATAGTATTAGTCTTGATCTCTTACACATGAAGATAATGAGATTTAGGGGGATTCAACAATATGACCAAATCCACATTCAACGTGCACAAGAAGTCTTTGGAGTATGGGTACCTGCCCAACCACTACCTCACCCTTAGCAAGGATTAAAGGTGTGCTTTGAGCTGGGATTTTCTTGGACATGCAGTTTTTCACCCCCTGTGCATTGACATTGGGCTTTTCATGTCTTTATAACTTATTTTTCTTTTTCACGACTTACTTTAGTGTGCGTAACATGAAAGGGTAGGACTGGAATGCTCCACGTGGCAGGACAAGCCACACTCTGTGTACATGTGATATGCAAAGTTACACTGTATCATTCTTTATCAAGCATGGAGGAGTGCCTATTTTTCATTACTCTTGCAGGATCAAAATACAGCACAGACTAGGTGTAAGAGAGAACATGAAGGAAGAAGAGAGGAATGTGAGATTAAGAATTCTTTACTTGATTTGACATTGCTATTAATTTCTGTGAGGGCAAGAACAGGGTCTCCTGGTGTCATCATGTTTCTCTTCCTCCCATCACGCTGTAGACTATCCCTCCATGTGCTCTACGGCACTCAGAAAACACTACAGGAATCGAAGAAGAAATGCCCAAATCACCCCCTACCTTCCCCTTATCAAAGGTCAACAGCCATTGTTGCTCATTCAGTAAAGATAACAACAAATTTCTTCCAGAAAATCAGCTTTGATTTATGGAAGCCATGTGACTGTTAAAAGGCAGATTATTTTTATTTCAGTACTTGATCCTTTGGTAAGTGCTAGTTTCCATTCTGTTGCTGACAATTTTGAAACAGAGACAGGTGATTTATTATACACACTGCACTGGAAACTTGCTTAAACTTAGAGATGCTTCCAGGGTTTCTGAGAAAAGAACTATTTTCACTACATTTTGACATGTTACTCTTGACAGTACAGAAATTTAAAAAATAATCTAATGTAATAAATAACTTTAGTTTAACTGCAACTAGAATTTAAAGCAATTTATAAGGTGAACTATCAGAAACCCCTTTCCTGATTTATTATATTCAGTGTTCACTAATATAAAAAAGGAAAATGATGTGTGGATGTGTGTATTTTTAACAGCTATAATTCATAAAGACTCTTCTACACTTGATTTCGCACAGAGGAACAAACTCCCTAGCAATTCATGAGAATGCAGATGGCTGAGCTCTGAAGTGGTGCAGTACCAGGTGCCACCAAGTGCTCCAGCTCCATTTTGGCTCAGCTTTTCTTTCACTCCATTTCTGATCAAGTGGCACCCACAGTAGAAAGAGCAAACAACTGGCAGTCAGGAAATCTAGAGTCTAGACATCGTTCTGCCACCAAAGAGCCAATGACCTTGGGAATGTCACTTAACATATGTCAATTTTAGTTTCTTCATGTAGGAGAAAAACATTGAAATGACATAGTACAACAGCGGACTCTGGAGTCAGACAATCTCAAGCTGACATCTAGACTCATTTACTCATTGACGTTTACTCAAACAAGGACTCGAAGCAAGTTACTTAATCTCTCCATGCCTTATACAGTTAGTATACATATTAGATTGATAGCATAGGTAAAGTGTTTAGCATAGTCTCTGATAGATTACATGTTTTTGATGAATAGTAACATATACATAATGTATTTATTTAGATGAGGAAATTGAACTAGATGATTTGCAAGGTGGCTCAGCACAGAGAGCATGTCTTGGAGTCAGGGATATCTGAGTTCACATCTCAGCTCCACCAGTCCCCAACCTCTCTAAATCCTAATTCTCTTTTCTGTAAAATCAATGGCTATTTCACAGGATAACTATTTGGACTAAATTAGACAGAAATATATAAAGAGCTGAGAATAAAGTAGAGATACAATAAAATGTTGGTTCCCTTTTCTTCACTGCTTCTCATCTCCTCCTTCGCAGCCTACCTCTATTATTTCTCTTTTCTTCAAAAGAGGAAGGAGATGAAAGAGAAACTCAAAAGAACTGACATGAAAAAAAAAGATGAAGATTAGTCCTCAGAGGAGAAGGGAAAAAAAAGCCTCTTTAGATGCTCAGTATTTCCCAGAGCAAATTCTAAATCAACAGAAGCCTTGGGGGCAACACTACAGCCATTAAGAGCTGTTTCTTTTCATTCCTTGTGTTACTAAACACATGGAATCAACTATAATAACACAAAATAGTTTGTTTTAGTTTACAGCAGTGAAGTCAAAAATCCACATCCGAAACAATTTGTGAACATTTTTCTGCTGACATCAGGGTATGAAGTTAAGCCAAAGATGGTCCTTGTTTTACAAATCATCCAAGAAAATCAGCACGTCCCATAATAGAAAAATCAAGCATAAAAGAAATCAGACCCTCAGGAGCAAGATTCTAAAAAAAACAAAATCCAACCATGATTGGTAACACCAGCACATTATGTCTTTAAGCTACTTGTGACAAGGGCCGCCAGGGCCATCATGTTTGTCATGGCTAATGCGAAGCAAGCACGTCCAAAAGATGAAATATGAAAAATTAAAAATTTAGGCTTCAACTTTGATTTTATTGCCATTTGGTATCTTCACATAACACTAAAAATTGACCTTTGTTGTTTTATGTCCTTTTATTAAGGAATTTATTATTTGGATTAATAATTACAACCCTGTTTAGGAAGGTTGAGTGGCAATAATAGGAGAAAAGTGGCATAACTGCCCAAGAAAACAAATGATTTCCTATTGGAAAATAAAATATTTTGGTGGCGTAAATGATAAAGCATTCACCAACATTATTGTTATATTTCAAGCTTTTTTTAAAAAAAATTAAAATGTTTCTAACCATAAAAAGAGAAATTTCAGCCCGTGTTGGTGTTTTATACAAACTGTATAGAATGTTGAACAATAAATTAAATTTCTTTAGATGAGTCTTTGAATCTGAAGTTTAGTCAAGAAATATGATGCAGCCTAATGCCACCGAAACATGCCCATTGGAAAGA